AAAAACTATTTAAGATATTGATTTAAAATTTTAAAATTTAATTTAAAATATAGAAAAATTGAAAATTCGAAATTGAAATGTTCAGAAACCTTCAAAACGTGATGATATGCAAAAATTTTTAATTTCGATTTTTTGCGATTACTACAACTTGGCCTATGTAGGTTAAAAAATATTTACACTATTTTTTCTTTTTTTTAGGTCTACTGTAGACACGCAAGACACAAAGCCAAAGCTGACAGCAGCAAGTATTATGAGAAAACAGAAACGTCTTAGCGAAATTTTATCGAAATCTACTGCTGTGGAAAAAGAATATGTCAAAAGAAATTCACATCCTAAGACTGATGTCGAAATGGCTAATAATATGATCGATCGTCTTACAACTCGCGAGAGAGTTAAGTATCCAGGTGAGAAACATATTTTATTACCATTTTATTATATCTAGAACAAAATTAGCCTTTCAGGACAATCATCACACATGTATGTAAGGTAAAAGTTTCTTCTGAGAACAAACAGACAACCAATGGGTTGCTAATATTTTTTTGTTTTTAGGAATTACGTAACAACATAACAATAGATCATATAATAGTTCTGTTTGTTTATAAAAATATAAAAAACCTTTTGATTTTTATTATTATTGCAGGTGGTCATGATGTGGAGTCTCCGCTTCATGTTCCTCATAAAAACCTTCTGCAAATTATTGATCGCAAAATTAAAATAGATGAACCACTGGTAAATAAAATATTTTTATTATTTCTAACTACATAAATAACTTAATAATTTAGTTAAATATTACTTTGCACTTATTTATAATATTATGATATTTTATTGTCGGCTCACTAGTCTGGTGAAAATCTATTTAGGTACAACTGTATTTTTTTTTGTTAAACAATGTCAGTTACAGAAATAATTTTATTAAATATTAAGTGCGACTTGATTATATTTCATTCATTGCATTAGCCACATATTTTGTAAAGTTTATTTGTGTGTTATAATATTTTTTATAATATTCTATGATTTTTTTTCCACAGACAGGTTTTGATTACCATCAACGAATGATATCAACTAAGCGTCCACTTCTTCGGAAAGAGCAACCAGGTTTTAATATAAATATATTTGACAAACCATATATTTTAGTATTTTTAAATAATAATTAGTTACTGAAACTACAGTCGGTTTTAATAAATCTACAGGTTTTTTTATAAATTTTAGAATGCAATCTTTTTTGCATTTTCAATCAAATTTAAAGGCATATTTATCAAGTCCTGTTTTTATTTTGATGCTTTTGTAAAGAAAACATATAAAGTATTATACATCGTTAGGAAGATCTTAAAATTCTTAGTTTTTTTTTTCATATATCGCAACTTTGAATTCACCACGGTGTGGCCTACAGACAAGTTGCAATTGAAAAATTTAAGGAAAACTGGAAAATCTCGAGAAAATTATATGAACACACCTAACCATTTATATATCATTTTATTCGTAATTTTTTTCTGCATCTTTCGTACGAATAAAGTTTTTTCATATCTTTTACGGTTTAGCTTGTAGAGAGCAATCTATGTAAATATTCATTTGTTGAAATGCAAAGTGCGGTTAGGTACTAGCAATTATCCACACTATTCGATATTTCTTTAATTTTAGTGTATAAAAATAATAATAGTATAATTTTATAATATTGGAAATTTGTTTAAAGTTAAAAAAAACACATTATGATAAATGTAATCAAATTTACATATATTTATTATTAACAGTCATATTATATTATTTTTCATAAATAATTATAATCATGTAATTATTTTTAGTACTGAAATCTCCTCTGAAGAAACACAAACCGAAACATGACCATCATCATGATCCTGGACGGAAAATTTTAAGTAAGATCAATTGTAATATTTGTGCATATTTAATAATATTATATTATTTTTAGTTCTGAGGGTAGGAAATAATATGGTGTAACCGTTTCTAAAAAAAAGAGTTGATTAAAGGTCAAATTTTGGCTCATATACATTTTTCTAAACTTAGGGTCAAACGATTCAGAATGGGTATGAAATAATAAGGTGCAACCGTTACTGAAAAAAAGAATTGATAAAAGGTCAAATTTTGGCTGACATATTTATTTTTTAAATTTGGGGTCAAATGATTCAGAATTGAAACGTGAAGATTACAAGAAATTAGTAAATCAGATTTTTAGGGTGAGCAATAATAAAGTGTAACCGTTTCTGAAAAAAAAAATGGCGAAAGGTCTAATTTTGGCTTATATACTTTTTTCTCAATTTGGGGTCAAACGGCTCAGAATGAATTGAAACGTGGAGATAACATAAAATTAGTAAATAAGATTTTAAGGGTAAGAAATAATAAGGTATAATTGTTTCTGAAAAAAATGGCATAAGGTCAAATTTTAGCTCACATACTTTTTTTCTAAATTTGGGGTCAAACATCTCAGAATGACTTGAAACGTGGAGATAGCATGAAATTAGTAAATCAGACTATTAGGGAAAGAAATAATAAAGTGTAACCGTTTCTGAAAAAAAGAATTGGCGAAAGGTCAAATTTAAGCTCGTACTTTTTTCTAAATTTGGGGTCAAACGATTCAGAATGT